GTTTAATCCCTGGTTCTGCAAAAAAAAAAAAAAAAAAAAAAATAGATGTAGAGAGGAGGTAGATATTTCATCCCAGAAGGAAACTGCTCAAAGACAGGCCATGGAGGAGCAGAGAGAGAAGGTGGCTCACAGAACACAGGGTAGAATCAGCTTGCTGGCAAACATTTGTGCAGCCCTAGAGTTCTCAAGGAAGCTTATGTCCCACAAGCTCAAGGATGATGGCTATGACTGAAACCTTCTAGCAGTAAACTATATTACTCTGGAGTCTGGCCAGTTCGGGACAGCTAGCTTTCTGTGCATTTGTACTTCGGGCCAGAGAGACTATGGTCTTGATATAACTTGGGACACAGAGATTCCCAGCTCCATGAAAAACTGGGTTGAAATCAAGCTTATAGGGGACTGTGCAAACCTGCCTTGGGTGAGCACAGTGGGCAGATCCCGGTGAAGTCCTATCAGTGAGGCATTTACAGCTTTTTCTTCTTTTTCCTTTTTGAGACTCACTTTGTAGCCCAGCCTGGCCAGCAATCCTCCTGCCTTCATCTCCTGAGTGTTGCCTTGTAGGAATGCACCATCATGCCTGGTAATGCTTTACATTTAAAGCATTGATAACTCACATAGTGGACAATGCAGGCTTCAGAGAAATGGATACTGAATGGAACTTTTAGGAAGATTATTCTATAGAAGTGAAGAACTTTTGTGTTTCTGATTAATTTGCATTTTTGATTTCTGGGTTGTTATACAGCACATGGAAATTTTCATAAAACTTGTACAATATGCAAGGCCCCTGGACACACACACACAAACTGTTTAATCTTTACGACTGAGGTTACAGAGTTTAGGGTAAACAGGAATGAGTTAAGGAAAAATAGCCCAGAGCCTACAACAAGTAGCTGAAATCAGGCATTTTATCTCTGGGCCATGTGCAGTGGCTTTCTCCTTGTTCTTTTCTTCTCTCTTTTTTAAAATCTGTGCTTCAGCCACAGGGGACAATCTGTTCAGTCACCAGAAGGGATACCTTCAAAGAGTTTTCTTGGATGAGGTCCACTCACGTGGTCAGCCGTGACCTCATCTTACTGCTCCAAGGGCCTTGGTTTGGGGCCTGCTATCGGAGCTCTGGCTTGAATAGGAAGCAGAGAGGCCTTTCTTTCAAAAACCTCTCACTCTGGAGCACACCAGAAACCTCCAGTTAGCTTGCTAAATGTTTCTTTAGAATTTGTTTTTTTTTTTCAGTTTTACATAATTTAGCCCATTGCCCTGCTAGTTGTCAAGAGTATGTCAGAGAAGGCCAAATGCTCGTAATCTTTTCACAAACAAACACAAAGTGGGAGGTTGGGGGTGCAGGACTGGAAGACTGCGGCTTTCTACTTTGTTGGCATAAAAACCTGAAACTGTAAGGAATGAAGAATAGACATAGTAGATCAGAGTTTCCTAAACTAACTTGTGAACTTAGTGTTTCTACCAAGGATAATATTTATCTCTTGGAAATTTTAAGATTGTTCATTCTTAGCAGTCTCTTCAACTGCAAAGCCATGCAGGGTTGTATTCTCTCATTTTTTCTTTCCTTTTCTTCTTTTTCCCCTTTACCTTCCTTGTCCTTTTCCCTCCTTGTCCTCCTTATCCTGCTTCTCTTTTGCCTTTTTCATTTTCCCCTTCTGACACAGGGTCTTCTACGTTGCTCAGGCTGGGCTTGAATTTCTGGGCTCAGGTGAGGCACCCGAGGTCTTACTTCAGCCTTTCTGAGCAGCTGAAACTCTGAGGCATGCCACTCTACTTGACTGGCCTTTCTTATTCTTTCTTTCTTTCTTTCTTTCTTTCTTTCTTTCTTTCTTTCTTTCTTTCTTTCTTTCCTTCCTTCCTTCCTTCCTTCCTTCCTTCCTTCCTTTCTGTCTGTCTCTCCTTTCCTTCTTTCTTTGAATATCACATGATTTATTGAATACTGAAAATGAAAAAGAAGAAAATATAAATGCACACTTCTGTATGATGGATAAGTGATGGAGACCACGACAGAGTGGCTCTGAGCAGGAGTTAAAATTAATCAACTGGCTTTCTGTTTCCTGTGATCCTGTCCCAGGCCTAGGTTCCTTGTCTGGAGATGGCAGCAGATTCATAACAAGTGAATCTCTAGGAGTCACTGGTCCCAGCTGAGGCCTGTAGTGACTTGTGAGGCAATGACACCTCAAAGGACAAGATAAGGCCACAGCTGGGGAAGTCTGCCTCCAACTTCAATTAACTAGATAGAGACTATAGCTGTAGGGTCTCACTCCTGTCCTGAACATCAGTCTGCAGATAAGACACTTCCCCTAATTAGCATAATTTACTAGGTGGGGAATGCTTTGTACTGATTTCTAAGTATCTTTTCTGTTTCCTGTGCTTTCCACAGTATTCTCTTCCTTTGGAGGAAAGCCAAATAAACATAGGCTGCCCAGAGAGATTTTTTACCCTAAATCTCAAATTCTGCTAGACTTTTGATCCTCCTGGAGCCCTAAAATCATATCACTTGTCTCTTTCGTTAAATGAAATTTGTCTATTCATTTGGGAGGTTGCTGGCCTGATCATTTCATGATAATGAAGTAAAAATCATTACACAAATCTACCATAAATGGGGAATACCTTATACCAAGTAATAGGGTTACTAATCCTTGATTCCTCTTTTTAAATTAATTGATTAAGTAAGTAAGTTTCTGAATTAGAGGCCTGAGGTTGATGCCTGCAACCTCTGGGGAGGAGAAGTTGTGGATTATGGTATCTTTCTCCCGTTGGGCTCAAGCAGCTATGGATACAAATTCAAGATCCCCATCTACTCTAGTCACATCTGCCCCAGTAGAAAGTGGCTCATGCAGACAAAGAGCTAGAAGAAGCTGAGAGGATGGCTGGGAGGGGTGAAGGGGCTGGGCCAGGTGTCCTGCCTGCTACACCCAGAGAGTGAGACTGCCCAGACTGAACCTACTTACAGAACAGGGACCCTCTGTCAGAAATAACATAATCCTCAAGAAACCTGTGACTCACTCCTCTGAATAGAACAATTATGGTATCCCAGCTGCAAATTCATCTTTTGAAATGTAAGATTTTTGTTTCTTTTTGAACTTTGAATTCTGAGATCAATTGTGTAGACTAAACCTCCTTTCATGTTCTGCTGCAAATTTTGAAGTTCAGTTCACAACATCTACTTTCAGGATTACATTTTTAAAACATACACACTGGGTTTCATATTCACTACTATATGTCCAGTATGTGGTATATGATTAAAGCACCTTTCCATTTTTCTGAAATAATTATTCAGTGAACCAATGGATCTGCTCATATATGAATGTATGCTTGAGTGAATGATGAATTATTCCTATACAATATTACCAAAGCAGCAGGGAGCCACTGAGGAATACCTCCCAGAGTTTCTGTGGGTATGTACTGGGGACAGTTTGACAAGTGCAGTCATTGAGCTTCTATGCCACAGTAGAGTAGAAGTAAGTGGGGGCAGGGATGGGCGACACTGCTAGAGAGAGGTAACTGATTTCTAAAAAGCTCAAAGTCTGATCAAAGGCAGGATTAATTTGAGCACAGTGTGGGAATGTGGGACTAGCGAATACAAGGGGAATCCACCCTAGAAACTTTAAAAGCACTGAGATCATCTCTGGCTTTTTTTTTTTTTTTTTTTTAGATAAGGTTGTACGAAATAGCTCAAACTAGGCTTGAACTCACAAAGGGCTGGTGGCCTCAACTTGAGTGATTCTACTGCCTCAGCCTCCAGAGTGCTAGGGTTCTAGCTGTGTGCCACCATATCCCAGCTCTTTTGTTTGTTTTTGAGATCACCTCTATGCTATGCTAAAATACAATATTTGAACTGGTAATGAGACTTTTCAGCTATGTTGAGGCTTTATTGACTTGAACTGGTTCATTTCCATCTGATCCTGGACCGTGGAGGTATTAGTATTCTTTGACATGTCAATTTTATTTTTTTCTGATCTTTTAGGAACTCTCCTACTGGCTATGAAATAAATAACAAACAAACTCATTCTTCTTTACTTCATAACACACAAAACAAGATGTTCCTTAGTGGTAAAGTCTTGGCAATCCTCCTGAGAAGATGAGAGAGAATCCTCCCCAAAGTTTTCATAGAACACAAGGATCTTTATGCACAAAATGTGATAAAACTTCCTTTAGTCAAAGAAATGAGGATGACAGGACGCTAAGTGCAGTTGGTGTCATGACTAGGAATGGCAGAAAAAACTTCTAATCATTTCATAGGAGAGACAAATAAAGACATACAGCCTGAAAGAGGATGAGGAAGTCTTATTCAGGGGAGCAGAGCCAGGTGTTGGAAGCAGGAACAAGATCCTTCAGCTTTTTTTGTGCTCATGACACATGCTGTAATACTAACTTTCACTTTCTTGGTGAGGGCAATTCCTAGGTGTTAAATTTTTTGAAGCTATTATAAATGAAATTGGTTTTCTGATTTCTATTTTTCAGAAAAATGCGGGTTCATGTTCCTGTACAGGAATGCTTTTCATTTTTATGTATTGATTTTTTTTTTTACCCTGCTGTATTTATTTTAACCAGCTCATCTTTTTGTCCTGTAAGGAAAAACTTTTAACTTTTTTTATGTAGAACCTGTGCATTTTAAGTTTATCTCTAGGTGGTTTACAGTTTTTGTTGCTTTGGAAATGGGATGATTTTTTCCATTTTTGTTTTTAACAAAGGTTTTTTCTTTTTTCTTTTTTCTTTTTTTTTGCTTTTATAGAGTCAAGGAAATTTATTTCCTGAGGTCATGATAGGAATTCGACTCCTAGCCGCTGCTGCGGAGCTCTGGTAATGAAGGTCAGAGTGCTGACCACATGCGGGTGCACAGGAAGCTGGAGTCTGTGTGCTCATGAGGTGCTCAATTACCTTGGCTTAGTGTTTCAGACAGCGGCGCACCTGTCCTGGAGCAGTGTCGGGGCAGATGCCAAGCTGCTGGGTGCCGACTGGGCCTGGAGCAGCGGCCGCATGGGGCCGGCCCATCAGGCGTCACCGCAAGACCTCAGGGAAGGGAAGCGCATCAACAAGTCATGAGGGTCCAGACGCTGGGTCAGGTGGAGACAAACCACTGTGTGGGTGGGTGCAGGTCAGCAGGCTGGAAAGGTTTCTGCTTTTTGATCATTATCGCTTGGGACCCCAGGGGAGGGTCTTAGGGGCCACCTGTGCCCCAAAGCTGGGAAATTCCTCAGAGCTGCTCATGTCAGGAGCCTTCTCATTGCTGCTGGCCCAGGGAGCATCCCGCACCACAAAGCCCTTGGATGGGGCCTTGGCCTCTTCATGTGCCAGGGGTTTCATGTAAACCTGTAGTGCCTCGCTGTCTACCATGTCAGCCAGGTAGTCTTCTTCGAGGTTGAGGCTGTGGTCGATGGCCTCCTCCAAGTTCTCTGGGAGCCCCGTCACAGTGACACAGTTGGGGTCTGGAGCTCCACTCTGGGGGAAGCGAATGTCTACCTTGAACTCATCCATGATTTTTCGGATGGCTTTGCCCCGGGCACGGATGATGCGGGCATGGACACGGTGGTCTAGGGGGACGTCCTCAGATACCATCTGCTCAAGCTTCCCCACGATCTTCAAAATGGCATCCCGGGCAGCTTCTGTGTTCTTCTCATAGCCGGTGATGGTGATTTGGTCCTGGGGCTGGCCCCCATCATCCTTATCCGGAAACTGGATGTTCACGTCATGCTCCAGTCTGATTTGGGTGATCACTGCCCCTTTCCTCCCAATGATCTTGGGATGGTATTTGGGGTCTACGATGACATTCAGTTTGAAGCTCCTTAGAGCCCGGTCTTCTTGCTCAGCCTGCAGCTCCTTCACGCGCTCTAGCAGCCCCACCTTGGCCCTGTCCAGATTTGCAGCAAGGCCTGTGATGGCGATGACATCAGACTAGACATGAATATTCTAGACATGAATATTCACCTCAAACTCATCCATCATTTTGCGGATCCCACTCCCCTTGTGCCCAATGATGTAATGGTGGAGATCAAAGGGTACCTCCACTTCAGTGGTGACTGGAACAAGGCCCTCCAAAGCTTTCTCGGCAGCCTCACACTTCTCCTTTCGGCCAGAGATGGTGATGATGTCATACCTCCTGGGTGAGCTGGGGTCAGCCTCTCTGCTCTCGCTGACTTCATCTCCATTCTCCTGGGTGGCAGGTTCCATGCCATGAACAGGGGTTTCCTCTCTGTCTGGGAACTTGATCTGGACACTGTAATCCTGGGTGATCTGCTGGATTCTAGAACCTTTGGGGCCCATGACAGATCGATGGAATTTCTGGGGAATAGCACACTCCACAGTCACTTGAGCCTCCAGGTCCTCGGTGATCTCCCGGATGCGTTTCTTGGCTGCTTCCACATAGTCCTTGGCACCTTTGAGGGTGACCCTGTCACTCTGTGTGCCCAAGCGTGGGAAGCTGACCATCACCCCGCCATACTCCTCGGCAATCTCTCTCAGCACCTGGCCCCTTCTGATGACAAAATGGCGGTGGCTCTTGGGGTCTACCAGCATGTAGTCTTCGACTACGTTGTCCAGGTTCTGGATCAGGGCCTCCAGCTCTCGCTGAGCCTCCCGGACAGCGTCCTCCTTTCCTATGATGGTGATCAGGTCCTGGTCCTTGTCCTCTGTGGCTGGGAAGATGATGGGGGCTCCGGTGCTGTCACACACCTTGCGGATTTTGCCGCCCCCTTTGCCAATAAGGAATTTGTGATACTCTGGCTTGGCTCGGATGTCCACAGTGAAACTCTTGGTTTGCTTCTCCTCAGCCAGGTGCAGGAGCTGCTTTCTGGCCTTCTCCACATCTGAGGAAGGGTCTCTGATGACAACGGTGTCGCTTCCGGAACCTTCCATAGGAAAGTGGATGTGGACCCCACCACACTCCTCCATGATGGAGTGGATCAGATGGCCCTTTGTGCCAATGAGAGAGTTGTGCAGCTTGGCCGGGATTGAGACCTCCACCTTGGCTATGTTGGCCAGGTCCTTTTGGATGGACAGAATCCGACTCCGCGCAGCCTCACAGTTGGCATGCTTGCCTGTGATGACGATGGTCTCAGAGTTGCTGTTCTCTGCTGGAAGGTCAATCTTGGTGTTGCTTTCTTCACGGATCTTCTTAATGTTTGCACCTCCTTTGCCAATGATGTTCTTGTGGAACTGTTTGAAGTCGGAACAGAAATCGAGTAGCTATTTTCCACCAGGTCTGCCACCATCTTCTGCATATACTTGGTGCATTTTTCCACTTCATTCTTGGGCCCTCTGAGTTGGACAATGCCACTTTTTTGTGCTGGGTCTGGAAAGTTGTTGATAACCTCTGGGAATTTATCACGAATTTCACGGATCCGTTCACATTTCTGCCCTATGATTGTGAGATGAAATGTCTGCTCGATGATTAAATCCTTGGTACGCTCATTTTCCATGCGAGACGCGAGCTCCAGAAGCTCCCTCTTGGCCTGCTGCACACCTTGGGGGTCCCCCTCGATGCGAATCAGGTTGCTCTTCTCACTGTCAGGGGGATGCGCACAGACACCTTGTACTGGTCTTTGATTCTGTTTATGTTGGCGCCACTCTTCCCAATGAGGTGTCTGTGGAACCTGTGGTCAATGTTGATCTCCATGTAGTCCATCCAGTTAATCAGGTCTTTGACCATGCTTTCAATCTGCTCCTGGGCCACATTTACATCCTCTGTGGGACCTTCCAGGGTGATCTTGTCCTCACCTTCTGTGAATTCGATGTGAACCTTTGGCATCTGCTGAGTGATTCTGGCCAGGTTCTGCCCTTTCTTACCAATAATGAAACGGTGGGGCCAGGAAGGGGCAGAGACTGAGGAGACTGTGAAACTGTTAGCCTTGGCATAGACTTCTGTCAATGCGTGCCCCAACTTCTCTGGCTCGCCTTGAAGAACCACAGTTTCAGAGGTGCTCTCTGAGGGTGGGATCTCCACAGAGACACCGGTTTTCTCAAGGATCTCCTGTAGGGAGTTGCCCTTCGGGCCAATGACATACTTATGCTGTGATTTCCTCACCTCCACTGCGATGGTCGTGGTCTTCTTTTTCTTCTCCTCATAAATCTTCTTGATTGGAGCCACTGCCTGAGCTAATTGCTCCTTCTCCCCAGTGAAGATGATCTCCGTCCAGCTGACACTGGGTGGAGGGATATTGATGTGTGTCCCCATCTCCTGCATGATCTCACCCACAAGCCTATTGTATGGCCCTGTGATGAAGGGATGGAAGGCCTTCTCCACTTCTAGTCTCTCCACAGCACGCTTGTCCTGCTCAGCAGAGATGAGGAGGACTTCATGGCGAGCTTTCTCTATGCCCTCTTTGGTGCCAGTGATCTTGATCTGATTGCTGGAGTCTTCTGGGCGTGGGATCTGGATTTTGGTTGCAGTTTTTAGCTCTAAGTCTTGCAGTTTCTCCCCATTTTTGCCAATAACAAAGCGGTGGTGCTCCCTAGGAATGGGAACTGTTGCTGAGGCCTGAGTCTGCAATCTAGCAACGATGTCCTTCCGGGCTTTCATGACAGCATCTAGCTTCCCTGAGACCATGATGGAGAGGCCTTGGTCTTTGGCCAAAGAGAGCTCCAAGTGAGCACCGGTCCTCTGCATGATCTCAAGGCAGATTTTTGCTTGTTCACCTTCTCCAAATTGATTCATGTCCTTATATTTTCTTTCCTCTAGGGGCACATGGAACACCTGAGTGATGACAGAGCCCTTGATGGGCCGGATCTTGTTGCTCCAGGCTGCAGTGGGTTCCCGGGCACTCTCCAAGCAAGCTGCTTTCTCAGGAAGTGGCGGGAAGGCATCCTTGTAGGTCAGAGGGTCGCTCTCCTCCTCGGAATTTAACGCGGCCACTTTGATTTGTTGTGGAACCAGCCCACTTCGGTGTTCAGCAAAACTCTCTTGGGTCAAAACTGCAACAGAACTCATGGTTGATCTCACACCAACACACAATCCGGGTAAGCCACAGCAAAATGGTCAGTAGCCAGAAAGTCCGTCCTGAGGCTGCCTCTGTCAGCCTGCCAGCTTTTGCTTTTCCAATCTTACTAGTGTGAAGAAGAAACCAGGCTCATAGATAGGAACTGTGGCGAAATATGGACAAGATGCCATCTTGGTAAAGGAGAAGAGGCAACCTTAACAAAGGTTTTATTTTTATGTTTTATTCTCTGGACAGTCTGAATATTAAGTTGGTTTCTAGTGTAATATAAAAAGCTAAATCTTTTCTTTTTTACTTAGACACTTTTAAAGCATCAGTCTATTTGGAATATTTAGTAACATAAAAGAGTTACTACAAATGTCTACACACACTGTGATTGCGAGTATATAAGTAAACAGGCATATTGAAAAAGATTAGAAAAAATATAAGCAATGGGAAAGTCATTTATACAACTGATTTTTTTCTGTTTAAAATTATATTGGTTTTTCTTTATAATCTTGCTATCAGAATAGCTATAACCAGAACTTGAAATGTTTACCTTTATTCTTCATCCCTTCAATCTTCTCCTTGAAGCCCAATAATATTTTCCAATAATAATTTGAATACAACAGCTTCATGGTGAGCCAGAGTCATACCACACAGTTAGTGGATGGCATATACTTTCCCATCAGGCATTATTTAAGTGGCATCTCCTAAGCCAGACAACCCGGTGACTGCTGAAAATAAGCATGAGAGAAGAGAAATCCATATGTGCCTTCAAATACTGAATTCTGGAATGGGAACGTCTTCATGATTAAATCAGTGAAAGACCTCTATAATGAAAGCTATAATACTCTGAATAAAAGAGATTGAAGAAGACGTGAGAAAATGAAAAGGTATCTTCTGTTCCTCCTTGATAGGTAGAACCAGTATTCTCAAAATGGTCATTTTACTGAACATGATATATAGATTTCATGCAATTTTCAGTAGAAACATAAACATTATTCTGTATTAGGAAAAAATATTCCTAAAATTTATACAGGAATCAAAAGGAAACCCAAATACCAAAAGCAATCATGAGCAGCAAGAGTCAGGCCAAAGGCATCACAGTCCTAATTAGGTCACATACCTAACAGCATAAAAACAGCATGTCCTGGTACAGAAGCAGATATGTCAAGAAAGGAACAGAACTGAGCATGCAAGAATGTCCATAGGCCCTTCAGTCACTGGATCTTTAGTAAAAGGGCCAAAAATATACATTGGAGAAGAGATGACCTCTTTCACAAGTGGTGCTGAGAAAACTAGTTAATAATGTAGGGAAGAATGGATCTAGCTCCACACCTTTAAACTTGCACTAAAATTAAATGAAAATGGATCAAAGACTTATATAAAGAGAGAAACATCAAATCTGATGAAAGGAAAATTGGTGCAGCTCTTGAAAACTTAAGCAAAGGCAAAGACTCTGAATAAAATCTCACAAGTCCACAAAAAATAACAACAACAACCAACAAATGGGAATATAACAAATTAAAAAGCTTCTGCACAAAAAGGGAGACAACTAACAGACTGAAGAGAAAATCTGCAGACTAGAAAATAATTTTTGCCAACTACTCTTTGTGTTACTGCATAGCTCCTTTACAAAGTGTCTTGCCAAATAAATGATACTGGGTTTTAGGTTGTTGGCCTCTCCTTCTGGCGTTAGATTCCAGGTTTTCTCATCTCAAACAAAGAATTGAGCAAAATGTATAAAAAGCAGTGGCAAAGTTAATTTGAAAAACTAAAAATAAAGAGTGAGGGAGAAACAGGCTTTGCAGTGTGAACTTGGGCCAACTGAAAAAGAAAAAGGCAAGATAAAAGAGCACCTTGGAGAAAGTGCACTGGTGGGGGGGGGTGCACTTCTATGAGGAAAACCAGGATAGCAAGCTCCTCTGGGGTCAGTGTTCTTTTATACTCTCCAAATCCCAAGGAAATCCCATATGGGAACTTCTCCATATGGGTTCTGAGATGCAGTGCTGGCATCCCACCTCAGGCTGACATCAGTCCAGGCCATCCTACTGAAAGCTTGGTCAAGCTCTCCCAAAAAGTCCACAAGCAGAGCTTTGAAAACTGTTTTGTGCATGTGTTCTGGGATCCTGTAATTAACAGGTCATACCTGCTTCCCCAGCTAGCTCTGCCTTGCCCTAACTTCCTATGCACTTGGACGGAGAGCTAATATCTAGAATACATAAAGAACTAAAAAAAAAAAAAAAACCTGGGCCCCTCAACCTACAAAACCCAATCAAATACAGACAATTGAATGAGTAGATACTTCTCAAAAGAAGTACAAGTAGCCAATAGATATATGAAAAAGTACTCAGCATCTGAAAATGAAGTATAAAAAGTAAAGCCCTATTAATATGATGAGCTGTAAAAGGCTCAAGTCAAGAACTTTGGACATTGACAGTTTTATAGAAAACCCACTACTATTATGGACTATTGGACTATATTGGGATATTTTGCTGGATTTATGCACCTACAGTATTTAAATGACAATGGAATGTCCTTCTCTGACAAAGCTAAACAAAAAAAGGGGGATACAAATGAACGACCAATTTGTATCTGTATACTCAAAATAGTTAGGATAGATATACAGCTCCATTCTCTTAATTCAATGAATAGAGAGGTTTGTTCTAATAGTGTTTGAGACAGGATACCAGGTCTGCATCTTATACAATGAATAACCACTAAGACAACAATATGCAATGTATTAATTATTGAAAATGTGCTAGTATTTGGTTGTGAAACTGTCTCATTTCTATTTGTTTCTCAATAAAAATATTTTTTAAAAAAGTACTCAGTGTCTTTGGCCACTAGAGAAGTAGAAATCAAGACAACCCTGAGATTCCTTTTTACTTCAGAAAGAATGACTAGAAAGCCTGACAAGTATAAGGTCTTGGGTTTGATTCCAAGTACAAAAAAACCCCAAACAAACAGCAACCATGAAAAATGGCCATCACACACACACACACACACACACACACACACACACACACACACACACACAATGCTGGTGAGGTTGTGGGGGAAAAAGAAAATCTTTCTACATTGTTAACGGGAGCATACATTAGTAAACCATTATGGAAATCAGTATAGAGATTCCTAAAACCCTCCCAAAAACCCTAAAATAAACATTCCATTTGACCTAGCTATACCAGTATTTATATCTTCCAGAAACAATTAAAGACATCATATTCCAACTATACCTACATACCCATGTTAATAACAGCATAACTCATAAAAACTCAACAGTGCAAGCAGCCTACATGCCCAACAACAGACGAATGGATAAAGAAAATGTATTTAGACATAGTAAAGTACTACCCAGCCATAAAGAATATATTTGTGTCATATGTAAGAAAATGTATGCACTTTAAGACCATAATGCTAAGTAAAATGAATCAGAAGCAGAGGTTGAACATTGCATGTTTTCTCTTATATGAGAAATCTGAAGCATAAATAATTTAGGAGTAAAATAAAAGAAAGATAACAGGGGACAGGGAGTTAAGCTTTGTGGATATGGGAGCAAGACCTGAGGTGGGGAGAGACAGGAAGGAGAGGAGAGGAAGGGGAAAAAAAGGATTCAGATATGGCATGTATATGTACCAATTCTTCAAGGTAAGTGTATTTAGAGAAGAGAAATGAGAAGAAAAAGTACAGAGACATGCTTAATTTAGTAAAGATGTCAACTCTCCCCAAGTTTCTATAGCTGTTAACATTTTCAACCAAAATGCCAGCAGAATTTCTGCTGGAAATTGAAAAAATGCTCCTAAAGTTCACAAGGGAGGATTATTATGGGAGGGAGTAAAGATATTATTGAAGAAAAAAGAATAAGAAGTCTCTGTTGTATCAGAAATCAAGTTATGTTACAATGCTACCGTCAATAAAATTGCATGGAACTGGCCCAGAGATATAAATAGAAAAATGAAAATCCAATAGAAAATGTAGACGCCGACCCAAGAATATGTATTTGAATTTTGGGTGTGATAAAAGAAATTCAGTGACCACTGGAAAAAATATCACAGCAGTAGAACATATCTTAAAATATATTGCTATAGGAAAAGTGTTAAATGTAAAAGAAAATGTTAATTAAATACAGAAAGAAATGTATGTGAAGACTTAATGTTGGGATTAAGATCTGTAAAGCACAAACCATACAGGGAAAGGCTTGAAGTTAAAATGGGCTATTTGAGGAGAAAAAGCAAAGTGACTATATAGAGGGAAATGCCACTGTATGTGACAGAATGACAGACACAGAATTATTCTTCTTAATACATAAAGAGACCTCAGGCCAGGGAGATAGTTCAGTGGAATAAGTGCCTGCCTGGAAGCTCAAGGTCATGAATTTGATCCTTGGTATTGGAAAAAAAAAAAGAGAGACAGAGAGACCTTAATGTGACTACAAAAAATTGACAAAGGAACATGAACAAGAAATTAATAGAATTACTATACATTACATTTAAATTATAGATATCATAAATGTATTACAAATGTAAAAACAAAATGAATTGCAGAATAGATTTTCCACGTCAACCCAGAGCACTGAGCTGAATCTTTAGACCTTTATTTTTTCATTTTTGATACAGGATCTAAGTCGCTCAGTTGTCCAGGATGGGCTAGAACCTGTGATCCTCCTGCCTCAGCACCCCACCTAGAGCAATGGGCTACAGGTCTTTGCCAACATGCCTAGGTTGTCACAGCTATTTATCTATCTTAAATAGCAAATATTTTGATGACCAGGATGTGGAGAAATATGCATTCTCATACACAACTCATAGGAATGTAAATACTAACATTTCTGGAAGGTAATTTTGTAATATGTTGCCTTTAAAGCCTCAAATTAATAGATACACATTGACCTAGAAGTTCACTTTGAGCAATTTATCTGAAGGAAATTGTTTGGAAGTGCAAAGGTGTATTAATGGGATATTCGCCTCCACCTCGGCCTTCCCCCTCACCTCTGCCGCCTTCTTTGCCTCAAAGTGTTTCTTACAAAAAGTGTTTCTTCCTTTATATCTTTGTTCTATAAGCTTTTCACTATTTTTAAGTTTTGGCTTTATTTTACTTTAAAAACACACAGAGTGGCCCCAGTCTACAAAGGGTCAGGATTATCAGGGTCTCTGTCTTCCACTTCCACATCTCTACCCACAGCAAGGTCTTCAAGA